CCCCCCCCCCCCTCCCCTTCATTTCGTATTTTTTTTCGGAGTCTTTTTTTCGAGAAAGTTTGCAGTGCCGGCGATTGCACTCGATGGACTACAAACCACGCGTGAGACCCAACCAGTAGCACAGCAGCACGATACAACATGGCAGTCAACACAGCACCCGTCAAGTGGGCTCAGCGATCCGACAGCATCTACCTGACGCTTGATCTCCCGGACGTGAAGGACGAGCAGCTCAAGCTTACCAAGGACACGCTCTCCTTCAGGCAAGCACAGAGAGCGAGCAAGTAATCGGGTTCGTTGTGCTGCTTGTGTTGCGCTCGTGCCTGTGTGTGGAAAGGTTGCCCCCAGCACCTTGCGTGCCGTGGGATGGATGGGCGGACAGAGGGGGTCGCCGACCGGAGCGTGCAGCAGTTTCGTGACAACGGCGGGACTTTGTTGTGTGTGTGTGTGGACGACATATAGGTGTCTCGGCAAGGGCTGTGCGTCCACAACTACCCGCCGGTGTAGGCAAAGGGCTGCTGTGCTTTTTCAGATTTTGCCTCCAAGATTTTGGTTTAGGACCACACACGCGCGCGAGATCCAGCCATCAATTTCTTTGCTGCTGGCGTCCTCTGCCTCATTCCGCGAGGGCCGCTGCGGAAGCGACTATCATAGCTGCCGCGCTTTTTCTCTCTTCACTTCATGTGAGAGACGGCTTCATGTTTTTTTGAATGCTGTGTCGAATCGTGGAAGAAGCCTCGCTGATCCAGAGCAGAGGGATCATGTGATCGCCACGCGACGGCGGGGGACCAGCTGTGTGCTTTTCGTTGGCGTGTCGGTTTGGGTATCGGGACGTCTCCGCCTAGCAGGTGGCGTATCGACGGACCTCCGGTAGACGGCCGGAGAAATCACTAGCAGCATAGTATTATAGTAGTACTGTTGTTGTTGTTTCTCACATTATTTAGCTCTTATGTAAGGTAGTCCACAAAAATGGGGACTCTTTGTAAGGTGGTAGTCCACAAAAATGGGGACTCTTTGTAAGGTGGTAGTCCACAAAAATGGGGAGCCCGTGGTCTCAAAACCCGGCACGTACCGGGAAACAACAGCAAAAATAGGGTGCAAACCACTCGGAAAAAGAAAACAAAATGACATTGTAGAAAGAAGAGGACAGCTACCGCACCGACCGGTCGAGAAAAGAGCCCTCGGAAACTGATCAAAAGAAAACGAAGACAAAAATATAGGGGGACGCTTTCCACACCCGTCTAAAAATCAAAGGGTAACGTACCAGCAGAAGGCACTGTGGCCACTGTGTACCGCTGTGTTTCTACTGACTGCTGCTGTATCAATCAACTTGGCAAGAACGAAGTTGCGGGTTACAGTAGATTGTAATGTAAGCCTGCAAGAATGAAGAACAGCTCTGCAACAAAACTGCATAAAAAAGTAGGATACTGCTGTTGTTGCGAATTGAATTTGGAAGCAAGCTGTATTAGCAAGCTCAACTGCTAGGTGGATTTGTTGTGTTTCAAATGAGGAAAAAATCAATCAACACAAGGCGTACTATTTTGTAGTGCGTGAGACGAGAGACACTCATGCTGTCCAAGTTGAACACACAGCAGTGGTATGCTAAATTGTATGCATAGTATGCATAGCTCGCCCTGCAAAAGAAGGGGAGGAGGTCAGCTAATTGCACTTGGAGAACACATCGTCAACCACGGCGGTGGTCTTACACTATTTATGTACTTTAAAGCGTTGTGAACATGTTTTGATTAGATTGGGAGATACACCGCTGTAGTGTCGACGGTTGTTGTTGTGTACAGCAGTAGGGCTGCCCACATGTGCTGCCGGGTTGCCCTGTTCAAGTCAAATTTTGTTCAGACGATCAAGGAGCCTCACTTACCTCCTGTTGCATGCCAACTAACAGAGGGAACTTTTCCTTTGTTTTTTTGGCGAGAATGAGAGGGTGCGAGAGAAAGAACAGCAGCAGCACCAGCAGCAACGAAGAAAGGATACGCGACCAATCCGATGGAACGCCCACCCTCGGGAGTGGCATCTACTTCTAACGCATGGCATTGTTGTACCACGGAGCGCAAGAGTCCGTTGGTGCATTCCAAAACTCGGAGAGATTACAACCTGCGTTTGTGTGGGGTAATATTTTAGTGTCTGTTCCATGCCGGACGGAATCGATCTCTCTCTCTCTCTCTCTTTCTCTGGTTCAGCATATCATCTCAAACACTCTTGGGTTCGAAATCTCAAACACAGGAGAGATCAGGTCCGCGCTCCATCCCTTGTTGAAAAAAGCTGCGGTGAATCTCATCTGCAAAAGTCCCGCCCGTGTGGTGAATGATTGCCCCATCATGCGCGCACGCACTGCATGTGTGTATCCACTGCGAGCGGTACTGTACCACATATGAAAACGAACATCACAAACATTGACAAAAGGGCAACCGACAGCAAGCAGCTTTGGAAGGGGTTTGGGGTGACAACAACGGCACACAAAACAATTTTTCAAACTTTTGCCAAGAGTTAGCACAGATTCCCCACGCTGATTGGCCGAGACCACCTAGTACCATCTCCTGGTGGCTCAAGGGTATCTACAACCGCGACCGGAATTCATCGCGTCGGCTGGTGAGCGTTTTCTCGGACTCCCCCACCCGGGTCACCGTGGGTTTTACAGCTGCTGTCGCGACGAAATAATACCGAGGACTTATGTATTCGGCTTGATGCCACTGGTGCCAGGCCTCTTCAAATCACGGATCAATTTTCTTCGGAAGGCGCCGACCACGGGACGGTCCGAAGTGAGACCACCGCGGTCAGCAGACCCAGCTACCGCCCAACCATGACCCTTAACGCGAACAACGTCGATATGCCGAGGCCTCTTGGTCTATTCGGCCACGTCGAACTTCCGACCATCCCTTGCATGGAGGCCCCAACTACTTGTCGGGCTAAATTCTCACAGCTTGTCACCAGGTGTATTGGCAGTAAAGCTAGGCGATGGGTGCACGCTACGTTGTTCGCCGTGGGTGGTGCCGCTGGTGTAGTCCTTGTCTCCCTGCAAGTCGCAAGGTGTTGAGATAGCCTTTGGTTGACATGGCGTTGGGGCTTACCATGTTATTCGCCAGCAATTTTTACCGAGGGGCACCACAAGACGGGAGAAATGCGCCTCGAAAAGGCCGGTCACGGCGCTCTTCTCTTGAGCCGCCAGAAAGCGGTACTCTGTGGTGTTGGCCAATCAGCGTGGGGCCTCCAGGATAATTCCCGACCTCAATTCTTTGTGTGCTGTTTTTGTGTCACCCACCCCGGTACGAATATTGTGTGCTAAAATGTTAGTCGAGACTAGTGATAGTGTCAAGATGATGTGTGCTCCGTGATGCGCGAGTAGATAAGACTACCGTGTAGCAAGCCGAGTGTTGTGGCCGTCGTCCGCTGCAGGAGTTCTCTCCAACTCGTCTTGCTCTTGTCGTTCTGTTTCTCCACCATGTTCAATCCCGGTCCCTTTCCTCTCCCTCCCTCCCTCCCTCCATTACTCCCTCGTTGCTGGGAAAATATGCGCTCTTGCTAACCAGCAGCGCTATCCTATGTCCTGTCGGCGCTTTCTATCTCAACCCCTCCCCCCCTCCCCTCTGCCTCCCCCTCCCCTTTCCCGCGTCAGTGGCACGAGTAACGACAAAAAGTACGCCCTCGACTTGGAATTTCTTCACAACGTCAACTCCGAGGTAGGCTACTGTAGGCCACCTCTCTGATTGTTTGTGAAAGCTCTTCTGACACGTTAATGGGGCGCCTTCTTCCAGACAATTGGGTGCCGTTTTTTTTATTATTTCTTACTCCTAAATCTTCGAGCGAACGGGAGCTGTGAATAGCGAAATGAGGGTAGTGGTAAACCGGTAGTAGCGGTGGCGGCTGTTACCGTTCTGCTCCCGGTTTACAAACTAGAGCATGACAGAGACAAAGGGTATGCATATGACAAAAGGAACGCCTAAGGTCTGCCTCTCCTGATCTCGCCCCCCCCCCCCCCCCCCCCCCCCCCCCCCCCCCCCCCCCCCCCCCCCCCCCCCCCCCCCCCCCCCCCCCCCCCCCCCCCCCCCCCCCCCCCCCCCCNGGTTGATGAAGCGATGCAGACGCCTGCCGTGCGACGGGACGAGGTGACGGACAGGTCGAAACAACCGCAGGCTGCGACGCAGCCGCAGGCGAAACCTGCCCCACCCCCGCTGCCCCCCTTGCCGCCGCCGCCGCCGCCGCCCCGGGGTTTGCACAAACAGAAGAGCACATGGAAAGTGCTGCCACGCAGCATCCAGATGCACATCATGAAGGAGACCGAGGACGACGCCTTCTGGGAGCGCCTCCTCAAGGTCAGTATAAAGGAACAGCTCATCTCCGGAGATGATGTCGTCTTCCCAGAGTTACCCGAGTTTTTTCTCGACCAAGTAATGGTGTTGCTCATAGGAAAACTGGCGAGAGAACGGGCCGCCACAGCAGTGGCCCGTGTCGAGTGGCGCTCTTGAAACCGCCCAAGAGGATTTGGAGCGGCCAACATCAAGCAGAACGGACGATTTGCCCACCCTGGACATCAATGTGGAAGCCTTAACTCTTTGGAAATGGCAGAAGGGTTTCGATTTGGACGAGTCCGCGTCGCCTATACAAGAACAGGTCTCCCCCCTCCCTCCCTCTTCCCTTCCTCCCTTGCATCTCTCTCTGTTTCCATGTCTCTTCTGTCCTCCTGCCTCTTATCTTGTCCACGCGCTGGTTATCTCTTTCTCTCACCCCCTGTATCTTACACCTTTCGTTCTGTCGCTCACTCCTTTTCTCTCTGCCGGTCTGCCTCTCGCTCTACCCCTCCCCCAAAAACTGCTTCGCAGGACAAGTCCTTGGAGAAGACTAACGTGAAGATTGACTGGAACAAGTTCGTTGACGAGGACGAGGACGAGGGCGGAGGTTCGTGCCTGCCGCCAACCTCAAAGTTGTTCCGTTGCTGAATTGTTTTTCATTAGTTCAGTTCTTAGTACAATTCTTAGTTTAATTCTTAGTGTAATTCTTTGTTCTTGTTTTATCATTCTTTTCTTGTCCGTCGATGGATGCTCTCTCCACGCGCATGTTGATAGTTTGTTTCAGCAACTACATTCAACCAAAGAAAAAATACCCGTTCAAGATATTACTAGATACAGTCGAAGGAGACGGGTTGAAGGTTGAAGATTGAAGGTTGACTTGACAGCAGAGGGGGAGAAAAACAGGCTGGATATTGGGCATATTTTGAGCCTATTTAAGCCTACATAGCACTGAATTTTTTCATGCGTACCAGTTCGTTTTGTGCCGTATTCAATTCTCGCCGCATTTTTCCACGTCCGCGCCACGGACTCTTTCTCTCTCGCTCTTCTCCTCCCTCTCTCTCTCTCTCACTCTCTCTCTCTCTCTCTCTCTCTCTCTCTCTCTCTC